ATTCCCAAGATTTACGGATTCAAAGTCAGCGAGCGAGCAAAGAGCGGTCCTCGTATGCAGTGGCTGCGTATGCGACCTGACACTGCAGAAGATCTTGATCGGGTCGACCATAAGGGTCGGTGGATCCAGGATGACGAGTTTGACGAGGAATCCGAGCATGATGAGCGTGGAAGGCATACGTCATCTCTATTTGAAGGAGGTATGAACCAACCATACTAAACGCTATTTTAAAAGTCTAATTGTGATCCGCTATTTTAGCAGATGACGAGGAAGATGACGATGAAGAGGAGGAAGAAGAAGATGAGCCAGCGCAACAGCAGCCTCCGCCTCACAGTTCTGGTCGCCCTGGAGCTCGTCAGCGAGCAGGTGCTCCGCAACTTGGGTCCACTGCAGCGACCGTAGATGCTGAAGACTCAGACTCGGATGCGGATTCCGATACGTCGTTTATGGCGATCCCGCGCATTCCACCTCGGTACCAAAAGTACTTCCGTTACCGGAAGCCGGCGCCATCTCCTCCTCCTGCTCGAGTTGCGGAGACCGATACCGACTCCGGGTTGGTTTCGTCCACGAGCTGCTCGAGCAGTGCGCTTGAGACCCCACGCGAGGAGCTTCCCCGACCCGTGGTGGCGCCTATCAAGGGCAAAATGGTGCTCCGGACATTCGTGCCGGGGTTGAACGCTGGTCTTGAGGCTTCGTCGATGCTGCACCAGCTCAATTTCTAACTGTACGTACTTCGGCACCTCGTGTTTCCTTGCATATTCATGGTATGGTAGTGTGGTTTTCCTCGTTGTTCTCAGCTCCCATTTCCATTTCCATCTCAAATCAATATTGTGCCCCTTGCCACACGATTTTCTCCATATTAGCACGTATACCATAATACAGATTCCTCACAAATCTACCCTGATTTGGGATCATTAGGTGTGGCCAGTTGATGTACCCGCGTGAGTTAAATGGCGACTTCAACCGAGTAACACAACAATTCAGTGGCACAATTTCTGAATTAGCGTGCTTTGTTGTCAAGTGATAGACATGTCTTGTAAAAGTCCGCCAGTGCACTATACCAACACACACAACCTCCAGGACCTAAAGTGATGAACTTCTTACATTCAGCGTTCACACAAGCGAAATTTCTCACAAGTGTTGAGTTTTCTGGACGGAAAAACTAACTGTTCGCCCCACTAGCCCAATGGCTAGGGCGTCAGACTTCTATTAACGAAATCTGGAGGTTGCGGGTTCGAGTCCCGCGTGGGGTTTTGTTTTGCTATCCTAGATATGAACTGCGAGAATTCTTATTCTCAGTTCACTTGAACGAACTTCTTTTGGTATTTCTAATGAAACTCGGTTCCGGATCAACTACTGGGTTACATTGCTTACCTAATCACGATAGTTCCCGCGGTCCTTGGTGCTGCGCTCTAATCCTCTGAAGCTTCCGGTTCACCGCCATGTTTTCGCTATCTAAGAGACTGTCGACCTCGTTTGGGATCATTGGGGATGATCCTAAGCTATCGTTTCGCACACAATCTTCAGGACTTCGAAGACTTGCGGAAGCTCGGGTGTGTTGGCGTCA